CTCACCTCACCCCGCCCCACCCCTCTTCAGCCCAGCCCTGTTTGGTGCACCTCAGCTCAGCTCAGCCCAGTAAGCCCAGCTCAACCCAGCCCAGCCTAGCTCAACCCAGCCCAGCCCAGCCCAGCCCAGCCTAGCTCAGCCCAGCCCTGTTTGGTGCACCTCAGCTCAGCTCAGCCCAGTAAACTCAGCTCAGCCCAGCCCAGCCCAGCCCAGCCCCGTTTGGTGCACCTCAGCTCAGCTCAGCCCAGCCCAGCCCAGCTCAACCCAGCCCAGCTCTTCTTAGTGCTACCCCCAGCAGTTAGACCAACTCATCCTGGTATGCAGGCCGATTTGGCCGGCCCATATTGGCCAGAACACTGGCCTTGTGTGGGGTTTGGTAGAGGCCTGTTCCCTTCTTCATTCCCAGATCTGTCTTTTTATCCATATGCAGCCCAGCCTGGGCGTCTGAGCCCTCCTTGTCCTCCTGAGCCTTGAGCCCAGTGCAGCCCAGCCCAGCCCAGCTCTCTGCACATGTCGACCCTTGCCTCCTCCAGGTCAGCTGTAGGCCGTTCGTAGGTCCCTGTGCTTCCACCCAGGGAAGGGGCAGCAGAAGGATGTGAGTGGCCAAGATGCTCGGTCCTCACTGGGTGGTCATCCTGGAGTCCCCACCCCAATAGCGGTCCCCTCCCTGCTGGAGACCAGCCGTTTGCTGTGTGCTGGCAGCCAGGATACCTGAAGTGTAGTCCTGGCAGGTACCTGAGGTTTGGCCTGCCCCGCCTGAGCCATCTGCTGGTCCCTGGATTATTAGTCACTATTGTTGCTATTTTTAGTCCAGACAATAGGCCTGGGGGGAGGGGAGCTCTGCCTCAGTGCTCTCGCTAGCGGAGGGGTGGGAATCCCCGGGGCCTCTGCAGCCCTGAAGTTCCCTTTTCTCTCTTCCTGGGAAATTGACTGGACAGGTAAGGCCCTCTTGCTGCAACTGTATACGTGTGTGTTGGGTGAGGCATTGTCCCCTTTGCAGCCACGTCCCTAGGCCTCCCTGGCCCAGCTCTTGGGTTCTCACTTCAATGCCACGTGCAGACTCGTGGCCCCAGGCAGCAAGTGCTGGCCACCACTTGGCCTGCTTCCTCGTTCCTGGTGCTCTGAGAGGAACTGGGTCCTGGGCATCGCTGTGTGTTCCTATCAGCCCTGTGAGGAGAACGTGGTGTGTTTTATGCAGAAGTGAGGGATGCTGAGGGATGGCCTGCATAGGCCTCGTGCTGGAGGTGGGGATATGGGGCCTCCTGTGTCGCAAAGGGCAGACCCTGTGGCAGATGGCATCCTTCCCTGTGGTGACATCCCAGTTGCCAGGCTGCAGCCTTGGCCCCCATCTGGTCACTGTGCTGAGGGGGTGAGAAGAGACAGAGCACAGCAGGGCTGGATTGGGCAGCCTGGCCAGTGAGGTGGTGGGAGCCATGTGGTGGGTAGCTGGTGGTCCTGCAAGACCACTGCAACTGGTAGGGCAGGTGCCACGTCTGTGCTCTGGGGCCTGATAGGGCGGCCCCGGGCATGGCTCTCCTGGAGGTGCACCCGCCCTGGCCCTCCCAGTGCTCCGCTCGGTGGTGCTGAGTCTGGCCCGTCTGCACACTGTGGCAGTGTGTGCTGGGAGTCCCTGGAGGCTATGGAACCTGTGGAAAATGGTAGCCCACGTTGCCAGCCTCAGGGAGGGAGACCCAGGGTGCCAGGGCGGAGGGCCCTGCCCAGTCTGGAGCACATGTAAAGCCCCCGGTGTGGGCTGTGGGCTGCAGGCGGCTAGGCAGCATTGGCCTCCCCTCCCAGCAGATGGGCCCAGGCTACCTATCCTCAGCCCCCGGGACAGATGCCATGTGGGATGCTAGGGGCTTGTAGGGTTCCTTGGAGTAGCCCGCATTCTGAGAAACACTGCAGGGGGTCCTCTAGCCTGGGTTAGAGGGCAGGCCCTAATCCCACCTGGTGAGAGGGGCCAAGGCTTCACCCCTCCTGACCTACCTGGTGCCTTCCCGTTCCTTCTCTCCTTCC